TTTTGAGACAAGGTCTCACTACATAGTTGAGACTGACCTGGAACTCACTATGTAGCCCAGGCTGGACTTGAACTCACAGCAATCCTCCTGCCTCAGCCTCCAGAATGCTGGGATTACAGGCGTGAGCCACCACAGCCCAGCAATCAGGACTCTTTCTTTAAGATAATGAAGCCTCAAAGCTGGGAAGGATTTTATAAGTCATCTAGACCAAAGGTCACAAATACCCAGAATACCAATCAGATCACAAGTCACAAAGGCACTGGCCAGCAAGGACTGTTATAGGGCTCCACCTGCCAATCGCAGGTTGGGACTCCCAGGAGTTCTGAGTACTTAAGAGAAGCTGGAAACTCAGATTTTATACAAGAGCCAGGCAAAACACATTTGAGGGCCAGATGTGGCCCAAGTGCTACCAGCTTACACACTTCAACCCAGAATGAGCAGAACTTCCTGCCCAGGAGCCCACGCTCTGGAGATCCACAGAGCTGCTGCACAACAGCCACTGGACAAAAGGGGGAAGAGAGACACAGGCGCCATGAGGGCACTATCTGTAGAGAAAATAAACAATACGCCTGGCTCGTGTAAGAACTCCTTTTTCTCTAATGGAAAAGAACATTACAAGAACAGAAACAACCTTTACTTCCAAACACTGCTAAGTTGCATTTTGCATTGATGATTTTACATTTCAATATTTCTTGAAATGCAGAGATTCCAAAAACATGACAATAATCACATAACATACACAGATTTTATTATCATTAGTGAGTACACCCCATAAAAATATTCAGCATCACCACCTCGACACATCCTGCCAGGCAGATGCATCCTGCTCATGCCTCGCCCAGTGTGCAGCTCCCTGCAGAGTCAAGGAGGGAACCAGGCTCCTGATGAACACCCAGGATAAACTCAGTCAAAACACAAATTTGGACCAAGCTTTTCCACCATCACCTCGTCAAAGTTTCACAGAAGCTCGGGGGCAGAAGAAGCCTAGTACCCCAGACCCCAACCCTCACCCGAACCATCCCCCACACTGTACCCCAGATGAGGGGCTCCACACTCTGGTGCGTAAGGACCCCTCTACCTTGCAAGGCGATTTGAGAATTTAAGCTCTTCCGGTGCCCCACCCCTCCTCTCTTGGGCTCACCACTTATAACCTGTTTTCCCTCTCTACCTTCTTTACAACCTGCTTTCCTCTCCCCATCTCCAATCACACCCTCTAGGGCTCCCCTCAAAGCCCTCCCTCCCTCATTCACTTCCACGTCTGTCCACAACCAACTAACTTTATACGAACGAGAATATACTTGCTTTGGACCCTTGCTTCTGGTCTCTTGCCATTGGTTGAGGATAAACTGCCTCAGAAGAGAAGGCCAAATCGTTCAGAGTAGTATTCAGTTGGCCTGCGCACTAAGTCAGGAACTATTTAGTATGTTTGGAAGAAAAGATGTTCCAAAGGAACAGTGGGTAGTGGTGAGAGGGGCATGTTGCCATGATTTAGACAGAAAATGTCTCCCAAAAATCTCCTGTGTTCAAAGTGGAGCTTTCAGAAGGTGACTAGATCCCTGGGGAACTTTACTCATCAGCGGCTAAATTCACTGATTAGTTCATTACTAAATGTGCTGTCAGGGAGTACGGGCTGTTGGAGGAAAGGTCGGGGGGACGTGCCAATGGAGGGCATATCTCTCCCTCTGGCTTTTCCCAATCTCTCTCTCTCTCTCTCTCTCTCTCTCTCTCTTTCTCACCCCCCCGTTCTTGGTCATGGGGTGAATAGCTTTCCTCTGCTATGCCCTTCCATCATACCCATTCTACCACGAAGCCAGGCTACCAAGGACTGAACCCTCTTAAACCATGAGCCAAGATAAACCTCTCTTTCAAGTTATAGGTATTGGGTCTTTTGTCCTGGAAACAGAGATACATGCATAGTCCACTCAAGACATTTGCAGCAACAGGAGCTGAGGGTGCCAAATACAGCCACATAACAGTACATTGCACAATTCCAGCTACACCATTCAAAAAGACCAGGCTATGAGCACTGCCCTCTGTAGTTGTGCAACAGAACAGCCCAAGGAAGAACCCACTATGCAGAGACATGGAAATCAGACCAGGCTATTAGGCAATAAGTCAATCTTTCAATTATTCTGTCAAGTAATAGTGATCAGCCAACTCAGTTTCTCCTGCGTGAGTGCATTTAAAGACCACGTGGAAACTTAGCAAAACCAGGACTGCCCAGCCCTCCCTTAAAATTCTGAATCTTCAGCTCCAGGGAGGGGCTGAGGAACCTGGGTGTTTTTCATAACCAGCCTTTTGAGAAACCATAGGAAATAAACCTGAAACTTAAGAGACATTATACAGTGTGAGGACCAAGATGATGCTACCAAGGGAGAAATGTTTATATTTTTATAACGAACTTCCCTTCTGTCTCATTGCTTTTGTCTCACAGTTGTTTCTGAAGATTAAGTACAAAATGGAACACATCTATCAGTGGGGCAACTGACACTGGAACCCCTAACCCTGGAATTCCTTAGCATGATTTTTAGGAGCACAGAGACAGACATCACTCACTGAAATTAAATAGCTATTCCGACAGCTTGCTAAATTTATAACAGCCTGTGTCAAACACAGCACACTCACCTGCATGTCAACCTGTCAACCCTAGGACACATACCTTGTGCTCCTCTTTCATCACCTGCTCGATGAGCTCAGATTTCACTGGAGGCTTTGAATACTGGCCGGAGAGAAGGCCATGTCCTAACTTAGTCCTGGCCAGGAGGAAAACACACACACACACACACAAAAAAAAAAAAAAAAAAAAAAAAAA